AGAAATGCCTTTTCACCTGAGAGACTTCACTTGTGGTGCCAGATTTGAGCTCCATTGCTTGGGAATTTCTTCCTCAGCTAACAACTTGGTGTTCTCTTTCCTAGCTCTTCTCTTAGGAGACGCCACCAACTCCTCACAGCACGGAGGCCCAGCATGAATGTGAACTGTGCTGCTGGCACAGACTGGTCTAGAAATGTGGAGTCCAGTTGCCCTGTGGAAAACAGAACTGTAGCAACCCATGAGCCAGAAGAAACTCATGTGGTGCTAGCAGGTCACAGCCCTGCTGCACTTCCCAGGACTGAGGGTAAGGATAATGTCCTCACCTCAGAGTGATCCTTAAGGGAGATGAGTTTGGGGGTTTTAAGGGGTGTTGTGTTTTGGAAAGAGCTGCAGTGTCATGAGGCAGTTTGTACTGGGAGTGTGTTCCCTACATGTGTCCCCTGCCAGGCTGCTCTAAAGGACACCAGTTCACAGCAGAGTTCAGCATCTTGGCAGGATCATCACATGGGCATGTCCTGGCCACCAGCTCACAGCTGCTTCCAGTGAATCTCTTCAGGGACAGCTCCTCCTGGAGCTGTCCCTGAAGAGATTCACTGGAAGCAGCTGGACACAGTCCTGTGTGCCCATCCTGAGGCACTGCAGAGCTCTGTGCTTCTCCAGCTTCCAGGGAGAGTCCTTCTCAGAGCCTGTGTCTGTTGCTGGCCCTGTTTAATTCCTGTGCTCCTGCCCTTTGCACACCGACTCCATCTGGCTTTCACAAGGAATATTAAGCACCATGATTCATCAGGAATTTTTTTTATCCAAATCCAACTGCTGGTTGAGTTCAAAAACACAGCCTAGTTCTACAATCACATCCCATTACCCTGACAGTTGTGGATATTGGCATCCTTAATTATTGTATGACTCAGTTTTCTCCTTCCAGTAGGAAGTGTTACTATCAAACGATGGTTTTCCATAAATTCTCCCTTCTCCTTGCAATATCCATTTGTTGTCTCCTCAGGTTTGGATCCTGAGTGCCGACACACCTCTTGCCCCATCAGCCCCCAGCTCAGCAGCATGATCTCTGCTCCTGAAGACACACACATCTGCCACTTCCCAGATGGAAACAAGAGACAGTCAGAGTATTTTAGCAGCCAGGAACGCCATGGGTGCTGCACATTGTCCTCAGGCAGCAGCTCACAGCCAGGAGCTCCAGAGAAAGTGACCCTTGTGGTGGATGGAACTCGCTTTGCAGTGAACCCCCAGATCTTCACTGCTCACCCTGACACCATGCTGGGAAGGTGAGTCACTGCCATTGTGTTTGTAGATGCTTCAAGGGGGTCAAGTGTTTGTTAAAATGGGATAAACATGTGATGTTTGTTTTGTCATCCCATCTGTACACACAAGCAAGGGGTGACCTCAGGCTGAGGCCCTGGAGACATGACCAGATGGGGTGTTGGTAGTTCTCTAGATAAGTCTCCACTTCCATCAAAAAATACACAAACATAGTCTCCTTTTGCCTCCTCTCCAAGTGTTTGCCTGGTTTGTGAGCAACACATCTGCCCACAGCTGATAACCTCCCTCCTGAATGGGGAACATGATAATGCTCCATCCCCTCCTGCTGCCACCTTTTGATACTCTCTCAAAAGAGAAGTTACTCAGCTCTCTCTGGCAAGGCTGAAAGCTGCAGCAAGGAACACTCACACAGTGTATTGGCAGCACTTTCCCCCTCTCTGCCTTCAGGGAGGTTCTGTGGGTTACTGACCCTCACAGGACACTGTGTAAAACAAGGGATCAAGCAGCATGTGGAGCTTCTCTCGTGTAGGTCACTGAAAGAGCTTTATTGCCACAGGATTTCCTGCCCCAGGCCTGAATGATCTGCTCCTTCAGCTGTGGCTTCTTCCTTACAGCACAGGAGCCATAGTGACAGAGCTCACACCTCCCTGAGCTGCTCCCTGGGCTTGTTTCCTAGGGAAGAGGGTGGAGTGTACGGTTGAGTTGCTGTATCTGTGTCACTGCTAGTTTGGGTTGGAGGGACCTTAAAGCTCATCCAGTTCCACTCCCTACCATGGACAGGGACACCTCCCACCAGCCCAGGTAGCTCCAAGTCTTGTCCAACCTGGCCTGGAACACTCCCAGGGATGGAGCAGCCACAGCTGCTCTGGCAACCTGTGCCAGTGCCTCAGCACCTCACAGGGAAGGATTTCTTCCTAATATTCAATCTAAACCAACACATGGAATCCTGGAATGGTTTGGATGGGAAGGGACCTTAAATCCCATCTTGTTCCCCCCTCTGCCATGGGCAGGGACACCTTCCACCAGCACAGGTTGCTCCAAGCCCCATCCAACCTGGCCTGGAACACTCCCAGGGATGGAGCAGCCACAGCTGCTCTGGGCAACCTGTGCCAGTGCCTCAGCACCTCACAGGGAAGAATTCTTTTACCCTCAGTGTGTCTGTTTATCCCTAGACCAAATAGATTTCAATATTCTTGTGCCCTTAGACAGTTTTTTTATCCCTTCAGAATGTTTGGCCCAGGAAGAGAGTACAACTTCACGAGGCCCAACGAGAAGGGCGAGTACGAGATCGCGGAGGGGATCAGCTCGGCTGTGTTCCGCACGGTGCTGGTAAGGAGATGTTTGCACACTAGGAAAGCAAAAACAAACAGTCTGTTTGTCACATGTGCAGAGCTGAGCCCTCTCCAGGCAGCTGCACTCCCTGGCACATTCTGTTCTTGCAGTTTGTGTTGTGATTTTGAAAGGAAAAAAGAATAGAGCAGATTTTTTTTTTAATTTATAAGTCAACAATTCAGGTATTTGCTCCTGTTGCCTTTTCCCCTTCCCTTACCTTTCCTGAGCTGCATCCTGACCTTGTGGCTGCATGTAAATACATACTGCATGGGAGATGTTATGAAACCCTGAGCCATGGGAAAAGCTCTAACTGGAGCTCATCAGTTACCAGACCCAAGGGGGTATGCAGAGATGTGGATTCTCAGACAAGCAGTGCTGGTTTTACTGTGCACAGAGCTATAAATAGCCTCTGTAACTCTCCAGCTTTGGTAAACAAAACAAAGAGCTAATTAAGAGTGATCAGTCCAAGATATTCTTAATTTTTCTCTGTAAAAACTGTCCTTTTTATCCACAGGATTATTACAAAACTGGAATCATTAACTGCCCCGATGGGATTTCCATCCCTGACCTCCGAGACACGTGTGATTACCTCTGCATAAACTTTGATTTCAACACAATCAAATGTCAAGATTTAAGTAAGTATGGAGAGAAATCAGCTCTTAGAAGATCATCTGCATGGGTTGAGCACTCTGATCCTGGTTCAGTGCAGTTCTTAATCATGTGCTTTACTTTTAGCATCAAAGTGTAGATTCCACTAGGGCTCAGGTTGCTTTCAAACAGCTTTTTTTGTTGTTTTTTTTGCTGCACCAATCCCAAGTGAAGTGACTGAACCCTGCAGAATGCAGACACCTTGCTCAAAAAGCAAATCATTAAACTTCTAGTCCTTTTGTAACAGAAGCTGAGCAGAACTTGCTGTTCCAGCCAACAAAAGGAAGGCTAAGAGCAGGGTTATAACTCCATCCAGAATGTACCAGAGAGTCATGAATAATTTAAGCTAAAGGATGATGTGAAGAGCAGGAACCAAGGACACCAAAGCTGGAAAATAGTGATGTTCTTAGTCATGAAGGGATTTGATTGGGAGCAGCTTTTTGGTTGGGAATGCTGGCAAAAACAGTGCTTTTAGCACAGGCACTTGGCTGCAATGGGGTCTGTGCTGTGGGTGGAATTTCCTACCCAGCCCTGCGATGAGTGATCAGAGAAAGCACCAAAATGTACTTTCAAGGGCAGAGGTTGTTGCTGGAAATTCAAGTTAAGTATGATAACGAATGAATTATTCAGTCTGTTCCTGTTTCTCTGTATCGATTGGAGCTCGGTGGGGTTTTAATGGCAATGGAATTGGCTCCTCAGTGCAATTTGCATCCCATTTGCAATGCAGCCTGTACCTCTCATTTTGCCAATCCTGGAGCTGAGGCTCTTGATGCAGCTGAGCATATGGTGAGCAGTTTGTGTGCAGAGGAATGCTGGCTGTGCTCGTGGATGGAGCTGGGAAGTGCAGAGCTGGGAGAGCTTTTCATGCTGTGTAGCAAAGCTCATGCTCTCATTCCTGTCTCGTTAGGTGCTCTGTTACATGAGCTGTCCAATGATGGGGCTCACAAGCAGTTTGACAGTTACCTGGAGGAGCTGATCCTGCCCATCATGGTGGACAGTGCCCGGAAAGGGGAGCGTGAGTGCCACATCGTCGTGCTGACAGATGAGGACACTGTGGACTGGGATGAGGATCATCCACCTCCTATGGGGGAGGAGTACTCACAAAGTAAGGGCTCTGCTTCCTGCTCCAGACATCCATAAAGCCAGAGCTGGATGAAGCATCGAGCAACCTGCCCTGGTGGGAGGTGTCTCTGCCCAGGGCAGGAGGGTAGAACTAGATGGTCCATTCCAACCCCTAAAATTCTGTGATGGTAAGGAAAGGACCCATTCCCAAACAGCAGGTTCCCTCCAGGAACAGATTGCCCAGGGAGAGAGTGGAGTCGCCATCCCTGGAGGTGTTTAAGAGGTGTCTGGATCTGGCACTGGAAGATATGGTTTAGGGGTTACAGCAGTGGCAGGTTAATGGTTGGACTCAGTGACCTTAGAGGTCTCCTTCAAACATGATTCCATGATTCTAGGAGACACTGGCACATGGAGCCCTGATTTGTGCACTCCTGAGCTGCTGCTGCTGGAGGCAGAGCTGTGGTCTGACCCCTTCCTTGCGAATGACAGCACTCACTGCACCTTTTCCTTCTGTTTCTGCTCCCCATCAGCCTTTTCCTGGCTCTTTAGCAAGGGGAATACTCTTTGCTTTACACTCCCATCACACCACCCAGTCTATCCAGACTGGGATGTGCATCACTACCCTCCCACAGGGAAATGCAACTAATCCCAGTGAGGAAAACAGCCACCTGAAGTAATCCTTGGAAACCACACCTGGGTTTTGACACCCACACACAGCTGAGCATGTCAGAACCAGGGAAAAGGTTCCTCCTTGTGGATTCTAATCAGCCTTTTCATTTCTCAAGTCCTTTACAGCTCCAAGCTGTACAGATTCTTCAAGTACATCGAGAACAGAGATGTGGCCAAGGCTGTGCTGAAGGAACGAGGCCTGAAGAACATTCGCATCGGCATCGAAGGTAAAGTGTTGCCTCAGCAAAGGGAATGCTAAACCAGGGGACTCCATGGGCAGTAGAGCCTGGTTTCCTCTGGGCTCCAGGGTTTTCCTGCTTTGCTCTGTGTTTCACATTGGTTTGTCTGGAACTCAAAGCTGGGAATGTTCCTTCCCCTCTGAAATCAGCCAGGAGGATTTAGGGTTAAAGGAAGGTAAAAGATAGTGGCATTGTACCACTTGTCTCCTTAGGAATGAGTAAACAGGAAACAGGAGGCAAATGCTTCCACCTGCTGATCCAAGCATTCCCCTAGGGAGCTTAGAGGATGTTGTGCTCGGTCCTGGGAGGCTGTCTGATGTTTGTAATAGCTGTGTTTGCTCACACATAGGTGGTGCTGTGCAGCCACAGATGATAGTGTGACTGACTGCACACAGTGCTGAAGCCTCTGGAATTGTTTAGGTTGGAAAAGCCCTCTGAGGTCATCAAATCCAACCATTCTCCCAGCACTGCCAAGGCCACCACTAACTGTGTCCCCAAGTGCCACATCCACACAGCTTTTAAATCCCTCCGGGGGTGATGTCTCCCCCACTGCCCTGGGCAGGCTGTGCCAGGCTGGACAACCCTTTTAAGGAAGAAATTTTTCCAATATTTAACCTGAACCTCCCCTGGCACAGCTTGAGGCTGTTGCCTCTTGTCTTGTTCCCTGGGAGCAGATCCTGACCCCACCTGGCTGCACCTCCTGTCAGGCAGTTTTAGAGAGCAAAAAGTCCTCCCTTAGCCTCCTTTTCTCCAGGCTGAGCTCCCTCAGCTGCTCCTGCTGCTCCTGCCCCTTCCCAGCTCCATTCCCATCTCTGGATGCACTCAGCACCTCAGTGTCTCTCTTGGGAGGGGCCCAAAACTGCCCTCAGGATTGGAGGTTCCTGACCTGTGCCCAGCACAGAGGGACAGGCACTGCCCTGAGCCTGTGGCCACACTGTTGCTGGTACAAGCCAGGATGTCCTTGGCCTTCTTGCCCACCTGGGCTCATGTTCAGCCTTGGCTCTTCTCACTTTCTCCCTGCACAATCTCACAGCATCCTCATAGTCTTCCTGATTTGCCTCCTTCTTCCTCCTTTCCATCCCCACTGGCTCCTCTTTTGGTCCATGGGAATGAGCTACTCCTGCAGCTTTAAGTTATCCTTCTTGAGCACTGTCCAGCCTCCCAGGACTCCTTTGCAGGGCAAAACAAAACAGTCTTTAATGCTAAATGTGGCATGTGAGCATTTGTCTGCTTAGCTCTTTGTGTGTGTGTCCCACCCTGACCCCATAGTCACTCCTGCCTGGAATTCTTCTGGGATCCTGTTGTGTCCCTTTGTTCAAGTCAGAGGTGCTCAGTGCAACTGACTGTGTGTCTGTGCTTCCAGGCTATCCCACCTGCAAAGAGAAGGTGAAGAGGAGGCCTGGGGGTCGCTCAGAGGTGATCTACAACTACGTCCAACGACCTTTCATCCAGATGTCCTGGGAGAAGGAGGAGGGCAAGAGTCGCCACGTGGATTTCCAGTGCGTCCGGAGCAAATCCCTCACAAACCTGGTCACAGTGGGGGATGATGTCTCAGAGGACCATGAGGTTATAATGCATCACCCTCCACAAGTGGATGAACTGGACAGGCTCAATGCTCCTTTCTCCCAGATGGTTGTGAATGATCTACCAGATTAGAGGTGGCTCAGGATGGAGAGTCCTGGATGTGGGAACATCTCAGCATGGTTTCATCCCAGGTGATGGACACAGACCCTGCAAGGTGCTTTATCCTGGTTCATGCTCTTACTCCGTTGTCATATTTCAAGCATGTTAATAAAGAGCAACACTCTGTAGTCTTAATTGTGCAATCAAAAGCAACATCTCCTCAGACAAAAAGAAATGCTCAGGTGTTTCTACTACAAAGGCTTCTGGATTTGGGGGTGCTGAATATTTTATCTGAACTTCAGAAAGAAGAGCACGAGTAAGTAGAAACATCTTGTTTGACATGAGACAGAGGAAATTCTGAGCCTGGCAAGGCAAAGCTTTCCTTTCCCACTAGACATTTAGCTTTGCTTTTGTGAGAGGCAGTTACAAAGGAGCAGCAAAGCAGGACAGATCTGTCATCAACCAGCAGAAATGTAGCACAGTTGTGACAGCACAATCCTGAGCGTGGAGTTTGCACTGCCACCTGGCTTTGGATCCAGCATGGTGTCCTAGGGAAGGAGGAACCAGTTCCATATGCCTGTTCACAGGAATTTCCCATATATACTTCTCCTCCAAGAGATGTAATCATTGTTTTTTAGGGATGTTGTCTGTCAAGTCCTGCCTGCTGAAGGAAAGCACAAAAGAGACTGTAGCTGATATTCTACCAACAAAGTAGATCTGTTTAGTAGCCAAATAGATGTCAGAAGCTTTCTAGAGGTGACTGTGCATGCTAAAGACTTCCAGTTGTCTCCTCCATCCCCTGCTAAGACACAAAAAGCCACTGGAGGAGCTCCTAGTACAAACAGTTTACTACCTGAGTAAAGTCCTTGTTCTCATCAACCTTAGTCAGTCAGAATTGCTGTAGAGTCTCCAAGGAGCACTCAGCTGCTGCAGCATGGAAAGAACAGCCACTTCTTGCCCAGTTTGGAATTCCCTGGACCATTTTGCTGTCAGGCAGGTAAGAAATACCAATAGTTAACCAGCCTTCAGCAGGGAAAATACACACACCTGGGAACTGCTTTGCTGCTCCAGGTGTGTCATCCTGGGCTGGGTAAGGCTCTCAGTTTGGGGGTCAGGGCCACCAAAGCTGTGTCTGTGAGCACAGACACACTCCAGGCTGGTTTAGCTCAGTCAGACTGGAGCCTTGCTGGTCCTATTGCTGCAGCACTGAGTTCCCTGAAGGAATTCCCTGTGGGAGTTCCCTGGAGGCTGTTTTAACCACTGGTTAGCATAGGGTGAGTTCAGTGCTGCCCCAGCAGAGCTGAGGGCACCCAGGACAGGGCTGTCTCACCAAGCCAACCCCTTCTGAGGGCTCTGTAAAGTCTTTACCTACCCAAATCAGAGTATTTAAACATGGTGCAAAGAAAAGCTGAAACCATTCAAGAAGAAAGTGAGGGACAGAGCTCCTTGCACAGCTGTTCAGGTCAGTGCTGCTCTTGCAATGGCTGTTGAAACCTGAGTTACCTGGTGAGACTTGGCAAAGTAGAGGTGCAGGTTTCAGTCTGCCCTTGGAAGGTTTAATCCTTTGTTGTCAGAGCTGCATCATCAAACAAATGTGTGTTATTCTTCCCCTAGATTGAACAGTGAAGTTTGCTCCTAAGGATGTTTGTGGTTTTCAGTGTAAGTACCATGACAAGCACAAATTTTCCTGCAGGTTTCTGAGTGTCACTTTAGTTAGAAGTAACAAATCTCTGCCCAGGCACAACTTGCTGATCTGGTTAGTTCCCATTAGTGTGGATCCAGGTTCTGTTCTCTCAGTGGTTCTGTTCTCAGCTTCTTTCCCAAGTGCAGCAAATTGATTTCTGCTTTTTATAAGTGCCTATGGGCAGATTTCAGGACCTCCCAGGGGTTTGAATGCCCAAGTTCCACCTGACTCCTTTGGAAAACTCCTCCCTGTGTCTCACTGGGTCAGTACAAAGTGTCCTTCAGCATGTGCACAGAGCTGGGATGGTGTGAAATCACCTCCATTACTGCTCCAGATGAATTTCTATTTTTGTAGCAGAGAAAGGAAGACATATGGACCATTAACCTTCCACCAGGGGCCAGACCAAACCCATTCCTTGCCCTGGTGTTGGGCCATTCCCTCAGGACAAACAAGCCCTGGTGAGCCTGTGCCCAGCAGTGAGGGAGTTTGCCCCCAGGATGATATTTTTCAGTATGTATTTATTTTTACAGCAGTGTCAGTTTTAATTCAATGTGTGTTGGTATTGCCCAGCTGAGTTGGGATTGGAGGTTACACGTGTTCTGCTTAAGGACCTGAAAGGTGTGTGTTGCTGAGCTCCTCCTTCAGGACTGTGTCAAAGCATCAGGTGCTGAGAATTGAACCTCAGTGGCATCTTACAGGACCTGACAGCTAAGTCCCATGTTCAGCCAAACCAAACCCTACTGGGTCTGTCCCTGAGCTCAGGGTCAGCTCAGACTCCTGAGGGATTCAGCCACTTCCTCAGACACAGTGACTGCAGGCACTGAACTGCACCAAGGAGCTCCTGAGAGCTAGAGACTCAGTGCCTCAGGAGCTGGTGGGACCCTGTGTAAGCAGCTTCAGCATGGGATGGAGATAACCATCTCCCATGGTTTCATACCACTCACCCCCTGTAGTTTCTTGGCTTTCCCAAGTACTTTAGAGATGAATTTTGGATTTCATTTCTGTTAGTAGAGTGAGTTCCATTGGAACACTGAATCAAACTGAAGAAGTGTTTGCTTTCCCTCCTCTCCTGGTCACCTCCTTCAGGGACAAGGTCAACTTTTATCTTATTCTAGATGTACTGAAGTGTTCCCTGTGCTGTGTATGATCTACAGATGTATGGTTCCTTTTCTGTATTAAAGGATAAATTATATGTGGCTCGTTTGGCTCTTTTAAAGGTTGGTTTAAATGTGGAGTAGAAGAACAGGCAGGGGAGAGAGGCCTGGGAGAGGGAGAGGGGTTTGTTTCCTTGCTTCAGAAAGTAAGTGTGGATTGTGATCCCAAAGTCTTACTAGTTTGGCAGCAGACAGAGCCAGGACCAACTGCAGAGAAGTGTTTGTGCTGAGAGGACCTCAAAGTTCACCAGCTCACTGCAGAGTTATTCTAAAAGCAGCACAGGGACAAGACAACACTCCTTAACCCACAAACCCTGCAGCATCTGTAACCAGTCCCAGCACTGTGGTTCTTCTGCTATGAAAGATGCTCTCCACTTCTACCTGTGGGAGAAAACAGCTTTGGAGCAGGTCTGGCTTTGATTTCCATCTCCAGCCTTGGATGTACTTCAGGAGTTATCTTGGGGAAGCTTGGGAAAGGCATGAAGAGTTTGAACAAGGTGGGATTTGTATGGGGACCTCAGAGCAGCCTTCCAGGGTCTGAAGGGGCTGCAAGGAAAGCAGAAAGAGGAACTCTGCATCAGGACCTGGAGTGCCAGGACAAGGGGGAATGGGTTCAAACTGAAAGAGGAGGTTGAGATTAGATGTTGGGAAGAAATTCCTCCCTGGGAGGGTGGTGAGACACTGGCACAGGTTGCCCAGAGCAGCTGTGGCTGCTCCATCCCTGGGTGTGTTTCAGGCCAGGCTGGACAAGACTTGGAGCAACCTGGGCTGGTGGGAGGTGTCCCTGCCTATGTCATGGGGTGGCAGTGGATGAGCTTTAAGGTCTCTTCCATGCCAAACCATCCCAGGATTCTGGAGCAGCTCTGCCCTGGAGCCAGACTGGGAGAGCTGGGGGTGTTCAGTCTGGGGAAGAGAAGCTCCAGGGAGACCTCAGAGCCTCTTCCAGTGCCTCAAGGGGCTCCAGGAGAACTGCAGAGGGACTTGGGACAAGGGATGGGGGGACAGGACACAGGAAATGGCATCCCACTGCCAGAGGGCAGGGACAGATGGGATATTGGGAAGTAATTCCTCCCTGTGAGGGTGGTGAGACACTGGCACAGGTT